CTCACCTCACCTGAGGAGTTGAGGAGAAATAAATCCCAATGATTTGGGGTTCTATTTATTATATTTAGGGTTTTATTTAAGCAGAGTAGCTCCTGGGAGGCCACCCATGCTCTGGTGGATACCCCCTCCTCAGGTGGATACAAGCAGAACCAACTGGAGTCAGGGGGCTATTTAAAAAAATGAGGATATGAAGTTAGGAATGGGTGGAAGGTGAAAAGGGGAGGTGATGGGGGAGATGTCGGGGGTAGCATGACCAATATAGAGCATAAGCTTATATGATACACACACACACACACATATATATATATATATATATATATATATATCTCATACATACTTTAATATAATCCACTGAATTATTTTTCAAGGGTTATTGTGGGCAATTCCCAGCATTACTGTTACTGTATGAGCCCTGTTAACGCCCATGTTCCTGGGACGCTGTCTTCTGTGTGGCTTCCTTCTTAGGACCTGAATCCACTTTCTCAGCACTGCCCGTGAGTTCTAAGCCCCTGATAAATGTTTCCTTCTGGCTGCTCAGAAAATGAGATCCCACATCAGAGTCACTGGTTCCCTATTTAAAAAGTGTTGAATTTTGTCATTTCTGTTTCAATATTCAATATCACAGCCATCTTCAAGACGGAATCAAAGGCCAGAATTCAGGCAAATGTGAGGGTTAGGGATGCTCACGAGAAGAAAGCCTGTGAGGAGAAAAGGGGGGACAGAGGAGGCTATAAGAAAGGATGTGGCCTAGTGGGACCTACGCATGGGAGGCCAAGATCTCTGTCTTTTATTAGTCTTATGTCAATTATTGTCTTTGGAGCATCCACACTGGGGAGCTGGTTAACTTCCCATAAGGGTAGATTCCCATTTGCAGAGCTGTGCTGGGGCAGCTCAGATTGTCCCAATGTGTCGCTCAGAGAAGCTAGTGGCTGGGCTGATGGTCCGTGCATGGCAATTTCGCTCAAGAAGCAACAGAGTCTACACTGCTGTTACTTTGCAATTGCTTGTTTTCTAGTTCCATGCACTGAGTTCATTATAGTTTAATGTTTCAAGGAGAAAAGATGTCCTGGTAGAGTGTGTGTGTGTGTGTGTGTGTGTGTGTGTGTGTGTGTGTGTGTGATGAGTATGTACAGGTGAGTACATGCTATGAGGAACATACGGAGGCAGAGGACAACTTCTGCCATCATGGATTACAGGCTTAGAATTTAATCAGGCAAGCAATTTTACCTACTGAGCCCTCTTGCCAGTCTGTTTGCATAGTTCAGACTCAAATCTCTCTCTCAGGGACCACTGGGGGTCTTCTCTGACTTCCCACCATGTACCTCTCTGTCTTCTGAGTGGTTTTATATCTTTAGTGATTGACTCATTGAAGGCTCTTGAACAGTGCTGACAGGAGCAAGGCCGTATTTACTTTGCATATACATTGCCATTGTAAGGGAGATTTGTGCATTTGGCTAACCTGCCTGGAGAGCTTTGCAATGTCAGAATCAGCTTTGTTCATGAGGTTCTACCTCACAAGACGCAAGGTGGCTTCATCAGATACATGTGATCTTCAAACCAACTTGTCCCAAATGTGAAACACTTGCTTACTGATTATATTTTGATCTGGATCAGGAAATATCACTTACTGATGTTTGCTGAAAAATATGGAAATGTAAGTCCAATGTTAATATGATTTAAATGTCTAACTTGGCATTTAAGCAAAGGAGACAGTGCAAAATGATTGACATATTAGCGTCTCTTCATGTATAATGCAAAAGTCACAACAGTCAGCCACATTCTGAATGAGAAATGCTTGTTCTGAGCTCATTTGAACATCATACCTTGCAAGTGACTAACACGCCATACTGGAAATAGTTCAAATGTGTCAAACACTGGATTCAGTTCCAGGTGGCATAGACAGTCATTTAAGCATGAAAAAAAGAATTTTGTTTAGAAAGGATGTTAATGTGCATTTATCTAATGCCAATAAAAGGCATCCACTTGTTAGGATCAGAAAATATGTTCAGAAGCTAATTCCTAGACAGACTTGAAGAATAAAATAATAATTGGAAAGTTGTTATAGCAAGTACCATGAAACAAAAGTAGGAAATGAAAATAATAAAGCCCTCACTGGTAGGATTAAATAATAAGCAAGTAACACATCTCTCAGTTGAGTTGGGGCCTACAGACATCGACTGGATTCTAACAGTGTGTTCTTAAGACTCCCATCTTTCAGGAGGGAACAGTGGCGTTTTGGGTGGAGATGGATTATGAAAGAGACTTAAGTGTTTGAGCTGGGGGAAGGGTGACGGGGGAAGGTGGGCCTTATGACAACTCCCAATGTAAAGCAGCAAGGGGTCTCATTCTCCAAAATCCCTACAAAGTAGATAGATATCGCCACACAACACCGGAAGTAATGCCTGAACACATTTAGGCAATAATGTCACTAAAAATAATATTTCAGTGAACACGTTAGCCTAAACCAATATTGATTTTAATAACTTGAGGACTCAAATACATCTTTACAAACCCCCAAATTTATGTTCCCACTTTAATAAGAAATGAGAGCTAATTTTATGAGAACAGCAAAAATTTTAAAGAAATGTGAAAAATAAAACAAAAAACTGAACTTGCATAGCGAGCTCAGGCCTCCAGAGTGTCCAGATTTGAGTTTGGGCGTTTCATCTAAAACTTCCTGAAAATTTTTTAAGCATCCAGCCTCAATAATCAAATACTTTTATTGACTGATCTGTGACATAGAATTTGGAGGGATTTGATTTTCTTTCTATCTTGACTGTTTCTTAGAATTTGAGAAAGAGACAGAACCATATGCATCACCCCTCACCCTGTTTTTCAGAGGTTAAGAAACATATTTGAGTGCCTTTGAGCTTCAGAAATTTCATATTTTACTGCATTAAGAGAGAGAAGCCTACAAAAACACATGTGCATAAACTACGGAGCAATGATGAGAACTACGTGCTACAAACCTGGAAGCATGCCAGAGGAATCCCTTTCTCAGCTAGGACCGAAGCCTCAGACAAACGCCGCCGTTACCTGCTACCTAGGTCTGAGAATAAGGAACTGGGACTTTCTGACCTTTATCTCACTACTCAATTTCTTTTTCCAAATATCCACCAAAATAGAATAACTTATTCCTGATTCAGAAGAAAGCCCCCTCATTAGGAATTGCAATGTCCCATCAAAACCCTAATCAATATTCTTCATGGAAGAATAAACAAAACAAAGCCTGGGGAAGACAAAAGCAGCCTCAGGTGGTATAATACTCAAGCTGTGGTAAAATCTCCCCAGTCTAGAGGTGACTTGCTTCTTTACTTTGTTGTAAAACACCCTGAGCAAAAGCGACTTAAGGGAGAAAGGATTTGGTTGGCTTACAGTTCCAGAGCCGTGGACTCCGTCAGGGATGGAAGACCTGGCAACCAGGGGGGCACCGGAAGTCAGCTGACCACATTTCATTCCTCAGGAAACAGAGTAAGCAAGAGGTGGGCCTGTAAAACCCCAAAGCCCATCCACTGTGACCAGTAATGCATCTCAAAATCCTAGAGCTTCCACAACCTTCACAAACAGCATCCCCAGGCGGGAACTCAGTGTTCAGAACATGCATCTGTAGGGGGTGTTTTATAGTGAAACCACGGTGCAGGGACCAGTTTTCAGATACGTATACAGAATGAATCCATACCTTGTGCATGGTGTTGCATGCCTGTAGCCTGCTCAGGCAACTTAGTGTAACCCCAGAAGAAAATAGAAAGGGGACTGGGGCTATAATTCAAGGGTAGGGCACTTACCTAGCATGCTCAAAGCCCTAGGCTTAATCCCCAGTACTGCAAAAAGGAAAAAGGGAAAAGGAAAAATGGTAAGTAGTCAATAGTTGGGGCATAGAGTTTGGAAGGTTAGCTGGCAGCTGCCTTCCTTAAGCTTCAGTACTACCCAGATATTCCACTATTATTTTTACAGTCAGCAGCTGCTCGTCTGGGTTCGTTCTCCAGACTATGTCAGTGAGTTCTAGCAATGAGAGAATGATTTAAGCATGCAACAAGAGATGGTAGGAACAGTCAGAAAGTGGGTGATACCACAGGTACCATCTTCCCGCACTGCAGTCATTGGCTCTGGGTCAACGCCTTCCAAAGTCCACCATGTATGTATTTAAGAGGGAAGCACTGAGCATCATAAACCCTTCCAGAAGAACAGACATGGTAGTATAGAGCCATGGTTCTAGTAATGTGAAGGGGAGGACAGAAGAATCCCACACTGGGAGTCAGCCTAGGCTACTCTGTCTTAAAAGCCAAGAAAACATCAGCGGTGTAGCCCTCTGCTATGTGTCCGTGTGCAAGGCCTCGGTTCAATCACCAACAGGACCAGCCCAAACCATTGTTTGGCTATTGTGAATGAAGACCTGGCAGTAACTCAGCAGGAGAACCAACAGCCCTCCGTTCCGTTAGGCTTGAGTCCGACTGACGTTCTCACAGCAAACACGAGAGTCCGACTTTAATTACAAACTTTATTCGTCCGTCCGATTCACAGTTTCCACGTGCAGCATCCCACCGTGTCAGCTTTCAGGATGGCTACTGAGGAGATGGAGGGGAGCTTTCTTTGTAAAGGAGTCTGACCTGCTAGAATTTTGGTTAGAACTTTCCCGGGTTTATAAAAGTACTCTCTGCAAGCTAACTGGATATTTACATTTCTAGCTTAAATTCAAATTTTAGAAAATATGAATCTTTTAGATTTTTTTTTAAGATCCTGGGTTGATTTCTTAAGACTTTAATCTGAATGCCACTTGTTCACATATGCCCACCCCTCCCCCAAAAGGAGAAGAAATCAGTTTTGCAATTACGTGGAGAGGAATCGTTTCTCTTCTGCACTTTAAAAATTACGTATACAGTGTACAGTAGATATGAGTATGAAATAAAGGAGAGGGGAGCGGTTTGCAAAATGAAATTTTTCTGAATTTTGAAACATCCAAAAGAATTATAGGATATAAATTTAAATTAAATGGATTATCAGCCTTTTCTTCTCTTAAAAAAAATAACTCTGGGGACTTAAATTGTGCTACTCAGCATTTTCTCTACTGTTAGAGACGACGTAGGTTGGCAGTCTGCATCATTCCATGTGCAAAAGTCACAGTGACCCTTAGACCAGCGTTTGTGCTCACACCCCAAAGTCCCAGCGACCCTTAGACCAGCGTCTGTGCTCACACCCAAAAGTCCCAGTGACCCTTAGACCAGCGTTTGTGCTCACACTCAGTCACCTCGGCAGAGGGACTCTAAGGTGGCTGGGGCTGTACTCCCTCTTTCTGGGCATCACCCAACACTACAATTTGGCAAGAGCCACTCAAGAAAATAAAGGGTCTAAGCCTTCTGTGCCTTGGGCTTGTCCACGCTGGCAGCGAGCCATTTCTTAGCGAATACACATACACGGCTTCGCTATTTTCTTTTCGTCAGAATGAATTCACACCAACTGTTGGAAATCACTTTGTGATATCAGTTGGAACCATTTTCTTCTATTAGATCACTTAGATTATAGAAGTATGTGCTCACTTCTTCTGCCTTTAAAAAATGACTAGTTATTAATAAATGATAAACTCCAAATACTGCCAGGAAAAAAGGGGGCTATGTAGAAGCAGCCGATGTTACCGGCCGGATAATTAATACTCTGTACATATATATAGATGTACCATTGGTACCCCAGTCAAATAAATACTCAGAGGGCCTTCTCTGACCTCCCTTCTCTGCGTTGTCTTGTGACACCAGAGCTCCTGAGTGTTCTTTCTGTGCCCATGGCTGGCATCTGTTCCTTCCATCAAGCTACACATTGCTTCCAGCAAGGTACGGTGTGTGAAGGGGAGGAGGAAACAAGAGTCAGCGGAGGTCAGCCTAGGGTGGGGGCAGGGAAGGGAAACCACAAGCCCACAAGAGAGGGTCCTGTTTCTTCGTAAATTAAGGCACTGCCAGGAAATTTCTTAGGTAAAAGGCTGCGTGAGAGTTTCTTGCCATTTACAAAAAGAAATGTTGTCATCCCTAAGTGGTCTGCATCCAGGCTCAGTTAGGCAACCCCTGAAAAGTCAAGGGTATATTCCTCCAAGCTACATGACTACCAAAGCATTCCAATTCCTTCAGAGGCCTTATGGCACGGTAGGAAAGAGGGGGAGGGCAACAGTCTGGGCACGAAAAGGCATCAACACTGCCTATCCACAACTACCACTCAGTGGACAGCTCACGAGTCCCCAGAGGGCTGCCGCTGCAGGACTCCAACTCCCTGGATGTAAGGTGACCAGATGGATGTATCTATTTGCTTTCCCTTTGAGCTCATCATACACACCGTTTAAATGCTGCCAGCAACAGTCCCAAGAGCCTAGAGAAGCCCTGCCCTGTGGCTACACCTCAGACTCTTCCCAAAGGCAGCTACTTCATGTTCTCAATGACAGCTATCTCTTCGCCGGCACACTGAGGGGTCAGGCCATTCAGATAGATGCTCTCAGCCTTCAGCAAGGGAGGCAAGACTTCCCTCTCACTGGTCAGGTGGTTCACGGACAGGGTCCTCCTACAAGGAGTCAGTTCCTGGCTGTGGTTCCCCGCCAGCTCTGCGGAGAGCTTCCGTTTCACGGACGTGGCCCGCTGGAACTTGTCATAGATCTCCACGCTCAGCCGTCTCCTTGTCTCCTTGAACTCGGCTGTGACGTTGGCTGTCCACTCGGCGGCATGGGCTCTGAACTCTCCCACCTGGAGCATGGAGGCCAAGAAGAGAGAGGAAGCCATCAACACGGGGAGCTACATCTTGTATAGTTCTTGTCTTATTCGGGAGATTTACTGAGAAGGTGTCTGTCTTCTGACAGAGACAGTGTTACTAACAGCCACACTGACAGAACGAGAGTCAAATTCCTACAGAAAGGGCTCTAAAATATTACAAACATAAACCTGAGAAATAAAATTTTATTTCTAATGCCCTAGACATGCTTTTTTTATGCAGGGAGTCCTGCCATAGAAACATAAAATGCTAAGTCAGGTGCAGTAGGGACATGTGATTTATAATTCCAGAACTGGGGAGGCAGAGACGGGCAGATCCCTAAGGCTTATAGGCCAGCCAGTCTAACCTAATTTGAGAGCTCTGGGCCAGTGAGACATTGTTTCAGAAATGAATGAATGAATTAATGAATGAAGGCACCTGAGGAGCATCTGAGGTTGGCCTCTGGCCTCCACACCTGTGCATACACATATTCGCACATACATGAAGACATTGCAAATGTTATAAAAACGAAATCTCTTAATGTGTACCCAAATTTTGGGGGTATTGTTTATTGCTTCCATCTGCCCGTAGCTTTGAAGACTTGGGTGTAGAAGAGGCAACTACAGAAGCGGTAGTGTTGAGGAAGAGTTGGGCATTCTTGCCCAGGTGACATGGTAGCATCTGGCAGCAGTGCAGCTGTGAGCTCAGATCTAACCTAGAGTTTAGAACTCAGACATAGTGCATGACCTTTGGGTCCAACCTTGTGTTGCCACTTAGGACCTAGCAGCATGGCTGAAGCTATGAACGTCACCAACCACAGAGACCTTATCGCAAGGGGGAGCCATTCTCTTTCCATGGCTAAACACCCTTACTAAGTTTTAAGCACCTACAAACCAAAGGACTCACTCCATAGCATAAGCCACTTACAAGTCTTTGACAGTTCTGTGTGCAGGTTTATATCCTAAAACAGAAAAAGGACCAGACTTTGAGGGACTCTGCCATCTCCTCAACTAGCCAAGTTTCATCACAGGGAAGAATCTCTTGTGGTGTGTGTACGGGAACATCCTACCAGGAAGCTGTGCCTGCGTCCAGCCTCACTTTCCTGGGTGGTCACTTAGGGCTTGTGTTGCTTTGGTTCTCTCTTGCCTGCCATGCAAGTAACAGAAGTTCTGTGGGTACCTAAAGCACAACGGTATATGTGGAGCATGACAGGACCTCTGTGCACAGAACTCATGGCAGCTGGGACTGCCTGCACAATATCTGCACGTGATCAAGGCAGCCCAAACCCCAGCATGGAGCAGGGAGGTCTCAGAGAGTTCTGTTCCTAGCCGAGGAGCTATTAGTGATTGGTGGCTGCTGGGTGAATAGGGGGAGAGTCAACGTCCTCCATGCATGTGCTCCCCCAAGAGGCTCTCCATACTCCAGTAGAGGTACGCCCATATACAAACAAATGCCACTAAGTGGACTTGGTGTGTTTAAACAAAAGAGCACATGTTATCGGGGTGGAGGGAAAGTAGTGCGAGGTGGATGGGGAGAAAACAGAGTGGGTTTGACCCGAACATAATATGTGCGTGAATGGATATGAACTAAAATATGTTTTAGGAAGGAAGTGATGAACTGCTATCTCGGTCTGCAAAGGCGAAGCTGGGAAGGTGAAAGGTGCTTGCTTGGTGCAGCACGCCAAGTAACATCAGTCATATGGTTAGCCCTGAGGCGGTGGCTCGGTGCTTACAAGCTAAGAGTGTAGCTGAGCCTATAGGTGGGGACTGTCATACACAGTTCCCTCTCAACCAAGATTGAATGATTAAATTGCACCCTGATTTTGGTGGGAGAGCGCTGTTGGGTTTTGTCAGCTTGATAGAAGTTGCAATCTTCTGCATTTAGGCAACCTCGTTTGAGAAAACACCTTTATTGGATTAGCCTGTAGGCAAGCCCATAGGGCATTTTCTTGATTGATGATAGAGGTAGAAGGGCCCATGCCACTGTAGGTGGTTCCACCCTGGGCAGGTGGTCCTGGGTACTATAAGAAAACAGGTAGAGCAAGTCATGGGATAAGAAAGCAGGTTGAGCAAGCCATGGGAACAAGTCAGCAAGTAGCCTTCCTCTATGATCTCTGCTTCAGTTCCTGCCTTGGCTTCCCTTCATGATGGACTAAAAGGTATAAGCCAGGCAAATCCTTTCCTCCCCAAATTGCTTTTGACGTTGATGTTTATCACAGCAATAGAAAGCAAACTGGGATGGGGTGCTCTCAGGCTAGCAAAGCATAGGTAGTATCTGTTGGTGAGAAACCCAACCACTCAGAATTGCTTCCCGAAGAATCTTACACCCAGGGGTAAATCACCATCCACAGTTCACATGATGCTCCATTTCCTAAGCAGCTGTCTCCTTGCCAGGCTAACTGCGCATGAAATCACAGTCCCCATTGTCTCTGAGTCCAGAGCACCTGCTGTCTGACACAGTAATGTGCTTTTTATGAATACATACTGTCCTGGGGTTTTAAAATAACACATTTAACATGAAAAGCTAGAAGATCTGGTTTCTCTGCAACTTCAACTTAATGTTAAAGGCAAAGTATAGCTTAAAGATTAAATGTCTCCATTAGTAAGGTCTTAGATGAAATAGTTTTTGTTTTCTAATGTGTTAATTATTCTAGTTTACTTCAAAGTCAACTGTCCTAATAGAAGTTTAGAACAAAATGTTTGCAACAAGGTCTCAGTGCGCAGCCTCCTAAGACCCTGAATCCTGACCTGAGAGAGGTTCAGGGTCCCCTTCAAGTATATGGTGGATTATAGGCATGCCTCCTGGCTGGGCATGGTGTAATATTTGAAATTTATTATAAAATAAGGATAATTAATTATTCATAAACTAAAACAATTACACCTGACCATTACTCCCATTGCTGATGATTTTATGGAGGAACCTGCCTGCTCTATTTCACAATTCATAATTATCCAACAGTAAAACCAGCAAATATTAGTCTACTCTTTGATGAGTTTTCCCTAGGAGAAATTTAATATAAACTCTAATATAATAGAGAAAACAAACTAATCTACATTTTCTGTTTAAATGAGTGTCTGTGAATTCAAGAATAAGATATGAAATTGGGCAGTGGTGGTGCATGCCTTTAATCCCAGCACTTGAGAGGCAGAGGCAGGTGGATCTCTGTGAGTTCAAGACCAGCCTGGTCTACAAAGTGAGTTCTAGGACAGAGAAACCCTGTCTAGAAAACCAAAACCCAAACAAACAAGCAAACAAAACAAACAAATATAAGAAGCAGATATGACATCTAACTTCTTTCCATATCCCAGAAGGCCACTCCTCTCCCTTTTCCTAGGTAATGTTCTCTCTCTCTCTCTCTCTCTCTCTCTCTCTCTCTCTCTCACACACACACACACACACACACACACACACACACACACACACACACATCTTAAAAACAGATTTCTTACAATGAAAGTTACACTTTGCTTATCAAAAGTCAACTGTTAATTTTTCTATTGGTTAGCTTTTCGTTATCTCTGGCTGGAATATAAACTGCCTGGATACCCTTGACACTAGGTACCTGGTATGTAGCAGACATAGTTCACCAAATGTCTATCGAATGGATAAACTCATCACTAAAATCACATCCCCTCAATTTGACACATGGGCGAAGGAAGCCAATGTTGTGAAGCCCACATGCTGCTACTGTTTTTTCTTTCTCTGTATATGCTCATCTTATTTTCTTCCTCCTCCACATTTTGTGAAATAAAAAAAAATAAGTCCTTAGTAAATGAATTGTTTTGCAAATGGCTGCACTTCAAAGCATGCTAGTGCCTACTGTCCCCTGTGGTCCCTCAGCAGTCCAGCCTTTCTCATGTGATGGATGCAGCAAGGCTTGGTTGTGCTGTCTCCCACAGGCTCATGGTTTTGAAGACTTGGACCCCAGAGACTGACAGTGTCTGGGAAGGTTGGAGAACCTTAAGAGATGAAGCTGGGGTAGGACTAAAGCGTCTACAGCCTGAGCCTCACTTCCTGTCTGCTCTCTGCTTCCTGACTGCCAATGCAATGTGACCAGCTGGCTGATATTCTGTTGTCTGATCGGGTCTGGTATGTATCCCCTTGAACTGTGGTCTCCAAGTAAACCCACCCGTCCCTCATTTTGCTTCCCCTCCCCTCCCCTCCCTTCCCATTTTCTCTCCTTTCTTATCTTCTCAACTTCCTTCCTCTTTCCCTCTTTCCTCCCTTCTTTTATTTCTTCCTTCCTTCCTTCCTTCCTTCCTTCCTTCCTTCCTTCCTTCCATGTTTCCTTCTTTCCCTTCCTTCCCTACCTTCCTCCTTAATTTCTTCCTTCCTTCCTTTCCTTCTTTCCTTCCTTTCTTTTATATTTTGAGACATCCTGCATACAAGCATCTTTGCCAAGTAGTAAAGCAGCAACTGCAAGAAGGCTTTGGCTGTCTGAATCCTCGGACTATGGCCTCCTATCCTTGGTTGTACTTGATCTCTGGCAAGGCTGTGTCTTTCTGCCCATTCGGGGAATGTGATTTTCCTGCTTTTGGTAGAATCCCCAATGGTGGAGAACCTTTAGGGGTGTCGGAGCTTAAGTGAGAATAGTCAGAAACAGGCCGGGATACAGGAGAATGACTTGGTGTGCAATCACATCCTGTGTGCCCATAGGCAGCCGTTTGGCATTCACTGTTGAGCACCAGAGTCATTAGTATAAAACAAGAGAGACAGCTGCTCATGTGAGCATGTTCTTAGAATGCAAAAGACCCTACAGACAATAAACATAACAAAGCCAGCGGTGACGCGATGCCCAAGGGTGTCTTCATTAGTTATTAATCCTAAGACTAGAAACTTTTTGGAGAAATGCAAAGAATTCAGACTAGGTTGAAATCCAGCCCTACAACTGGTGATGGTACCAGGGTGAGTGTGTATGGCTGTAATCTCCTACAGGAAACAATGAGTCAACTCCTAAAAACACTCCCTGGGCTAGTCATCAAAAGCAGCAGCAATA